TTGATAGTGTTTTGTTTTTCACGTCACTTGGAAAAAAAACTTTTCTACTAACCCTACATTTCGTTTTTTTGTTTCCTTGATATCTCTAAAAACAAATAGTTACAGCCAATTAAAATGTCATTAAGATAAATTGAACTCACGGCACATTACGAAATATTTGAAACTGCGCGGAAATTGAGGCAAAATAGCCTAATATCGACAATACTATCGAAAAGTCTATTTGGATAAACTGATATTGCGTAATATGGACGAAGTCGGCATCTAAGATAAAAACGGCGGCATAACTCAGATCGCAAAGAAATCCAGCAACACGTGGCAACCCAGCGCCGAGTACTGACGTGTGTGTGTGTGTATGTATACAAAGTGTGTGCAGCTGCAGCCACGGGGACGTTCCCCTCGCTCCCCGCGACCCATAAAGATCCGGCAGTGGTGTCTCTCTCTGATGGAAATGCACACTTTTTAACGGTCCTGACAGGTGGTGTCGGGCAACCACCGTCGACGTTAGCGGCGCCCTCTGCGATCGCTCTTCTAACGATAGAACTAGATGTTCGTTTCCGGTCGTTTTACGCTAACGTCTGCTAATGTCTCATATCTGATTACTGGGGACGAGTAAATGAGGAAAATAGTACAAGAATATCTTTTTGTAGACGTTGTCTGTATGGGACATTCTTTTCTTCTTCGTGTTTTTTCATAACATCAATATTTTGACTAAGACATACATACGTAGTAACATTATGCATGCCTAAGTGAAAATATTGATGTTAAGAGACACGAAGAAGAAAAGAATATCCCACAAAGACCACTGGTAAAAGAAGATATTTTTGTACTATTTTCCTTATTTACTTGATATCGATCTCTGGGAGTATTAGTTCTATTCGCTGTCTCAGCGCTCTGTCTCACCCTAAGTGCAACCAAACCATTTCCATCGGGTCTATTTTCTTCCTTTCCAACTTTTTTCAATATTAAATTATCTTCTAGGTACTTTTTTTAGAATTTGGCGTAATTCGCGTCGCTCAAATCGACCAATGACTTTTATACATTTCACTACACACAGCGACGCGCGTTTCGATAACTTTAAATACGCCCAAACGTCAGCGGACGTAACACATTTCCTGCTAGAAGCGATGCCTTATCGGCTAATTAAAACGTTCTCTCTTGTTAAACCTTATCGCTGGGATCTCTACTGGTTCGAATCGCACCTCAAAACAAGACGAGAGAGATTTAAATAATTTTAATGAGGCAGCATTTGTAACGGGAAGAATGTAGCAGCTCTCGTTTTTCACTAATCCTACTTCTCCTCCGTCTGCGCAAACACGACCGATCGCCATCTTCAGGATCGGTCCACTCTGACCTTCAGTACCTTAGGTAATGCCAAGCTTAAAGAGGACTTGTCCAAATAAATATCGAGTATCGAGCCTTGTCCACTGTGTGTAATGCAAAACCCCGATATTATGCTAGAACCTAGTTTCATTTCCTCTGTTTGTATAAAAATGTATTGAAAAGTTCATTTGGTAGAATGAAGAATGGATCAAAGTTCTAAAGTACAACTTTTACAAGAATTTTTTTTTTAATTTCGGTCAACACAATTCTGCAATATATATGGAATAGATGTAAGTACAACTTTTGCAAGATCTAAATTATAAAGTACAACTTTTGAGAGAGTTTTTCTTTAATTTTCTGCCAACACAATTCCGCAATATATGTAGAATGAATCTAAGTTCTAAAGTACAACTTTTGCAAGAGTTTTTCTTTAATTTTCTGCCATCACAATTCCGCAATATATATAGAATGGATCTAAGTTCTAAAGTACAACTTATGCAAGAGTTTTTGTTTAATTTTTTGCCAACACAATTCTGCAATATATTGGAATGGATATAAGTTCTAAAGTACAACTTTGCAAGAGTTTTTCTTTAATTTTCTGCCAACTCAATTCTGAAATATATACGGCATGGATACAAAGTGCAACCCTTGCAAGAGTTTTTCTTTAATTTTCTGCCAACACAATTCCGCAATATATATGGAATGGATCTAATTTCTAAAGTACAACTTTTACCAGAGTTTTGCTTTAATTTTCTGCCAACACAATTCTGCAATATATATTGAATTGATATAAGTTTCAAAGTACAACTTTTTCAAGAGTTTTCCTTTAATTTTCTGCCAACACAATTCTGCAATATATTTGGAATGGATATAAGTTAAAAAGTACAACTTTTGCAAGAGCTTTTCTTTAATTTTTGGCCAACATAATTCCGCAATACTTATGGAATGGATCTAGGTTCTAAAGCACAACTTTTACAAGAATTTTTCTTGAATTGAATGGATCTAAATTATATTGCAGAACTGTGTTGGTAGAAAATTAAAGAAAAACTCTTATAAAAGCTGTACTTTAGAACTTACACCCATTCTTCCTTCTACCAAGTGAACCTTGCAATATATTTTTATTCTATAGTATTGAGAACTCAATCGTTATGAAGAGTCTAGTTTCCACATCTGGGAAATAAGACGAGACTGGCACTTAAAATAGATATGTTTTTTGCCCTCTAACAATTCGGGGGCGTCTATGCTCCGCACATAGTCGAGAACGAATTATCTTTTGATCTATATCTCGTCTTGAATCTCAATCAATTTCGCAGTACGCGCGCGGAGAGATGATATGCGCCGCTAACTGTAACGGTTGTTCAGTTTCCGCGCCGTGGTGTGTGAAACACTCGGTATTATCTGCTCGTTTTCTTCTCGACATTCCGAAAACGCCGGATACGTATTATTAATAACAACGCGAGTGGTTTTCGATGCACACATCCAATTAGCGGATTTTTGTTTAATTTTTTACATACGATCGCTATTTATTTTACCGAATGAGCCAGTGGCTCACGTTGCAGGGAATTATTCGTTCTTTGTTTTCCGAAATTTTATTACAGTGACTCTGAACTTAAATAATACGGTCACTATAACAAAAACTAACTGGTCTAAATGTCTCTTTATAAGTTTGACTTTTATTTATTACTGCAATTGTTTTTTGTTTAGTTGGACATATTAAAACACGTTTCCTTTCAGTAAAACGATTTTTTAAAAAAATGGGTCGTCAGACCACATATATTTAATTATAACTCATCACAGAAATGGATACAACCAAAGAGACATAGGAAAAATGGTAAATAAATGTTCAGCATATCATTGAGCGTTACTGTAACGAAAATAGGGTCGAGAATAAGTCAAGGTAAACTCCAAATAAGATCTTCGATGAACGAATTATCCAAAAAAAAAGTTCTCCAAAAATGTGTGTCGAGGTGGAAAGACAATTTGGAAAAAGGTGCAACTCCGAAACAATTCGACGAATCCTGCGAAAAAATAATTTACATGGTGGAACTGCCAAAAATAAGCCTTTCATTAGCCGAAGAAATAGACCCGTGAGCTTGGCATTCGCTAGAGAGCATGCATATCGACGAAGATTTGAATTTCTAGAAACTTCTGATGAAACCAAAATAAACTTATTTGGTTATGGATAAAGCCTAAGGAAGAATTAAAATTGAAAAATTTAAAAACTACGGTAAAGGTGGAGTGATGTTGTCTTTTTTTTTAATAAATAAAGATACATTCAGGCCAGTTAGTTTTTGTTCATCATTTTAGCTCTGAGTCACTGTATGTACCTCAAAATGGCATCGCTCCGGTTGCCATTTTGTTGTGAAAAGGTTAGTGACGTCAAAATAGAGGGGAACTATCCGATTTCGTTTATCTGATAAAACAAAAGCCAAAGAATAATGATTTTTTTATGACAAGTCATTAAACTACTTGTTTGGACTATTTTTAATTAAAAACCGAGAAAATAATGCGTTTTCTTTGGGGATTCCGAGATTTCGTTGTCTGGATGTCATGGAGTATTCATTCCGCTTTACCATAATACCGGAAAGTCGTAAATTGTTGCCTTGGAACTCAAAGAACATCGAGACGAAAGCATTGGGTTTTTTATCCATTACACGTCACACTCATTCCCATTTAAAGACTTTTGTCATACAGGCGGGACATATTTGAGTAACAATTGATTGATTGTTGAAGATCATTTTGCTTTCCCCTGGTCTGTAAGTCATTGACTATTGATTTAGTTTCACCATAAGGCCTCGAATAGGTTATTCTTGGAACTCTAGCAACGTCATGGGCAACAATGATTTTTTCCATTGGATTCTTTCTGCCAAAATGTCATTCAAAACCTGAGTTTATGTGTTTTTTTTATTTAAATTGAGAAAAGTGGGTCGACGACCGCGGCAACGTCGCACTGCGTGCCTAAAAGGCACCCCGAGGGTTGATTTTGGGATAACGTCCGTCTCGCTCCGTGTATATAATTCTTACCTTCCGTGACGTAGGGTATACGAGGGGGGAGGCAAACGATTGTACTAGTCGTCTAGAAAACATCTGCCGTCCGCACGTCGCGGCGGTATTCCGCAAGGATAGTTCTTGGGACCGCTACGGTACATTTCGACGGAAAAGTTTACTAATATCAAAAGCAAGAAAAATGCACCAGTCGACTTCAAAATGGACTTTATCTAAACCACTATTTTGTCAGATTTACACGGTTATTGTATTGTTACTCTTGTATTTTGTATAGCATTTTTATTTTATTGAGTTTTTCATCGACGATGAACGTTGTATAAAAGCTATATTGAAATCTACTAAAATCCGTTTTTTGCAAACAAAAAACTGGTCTAAGAAGATATTAATGGTATGGTATGTGGTTAAAATGTGCAAAAAAGCGTCATCGTAAATGCGTAAACATTAAAAATTGTACATCTAAAATTCCAAACATGTGCGAAAGTCTTTGTCGACTATTGCGGACTTTAGAAACGGTCTACAATTTTTTAAGAAATCGTGTGATTTTTTTTTCTTTTTCTTTTTAAGGCCACCTGGACGATTCGCGCGCCATAAAATGTCAATTTCAATAGCCGAATAGCCAAAGCGCCCGCGCGTATAGCCAAAAGCAATCTCGCAAGCCCTCGATCAAAACACACCTGTTGTTTCGGAT